GTGATTGGTTGTTGCTTGACATTCCCAGTGTGATTGTGCGTGATGTGCATGTTGACAAGATGCCTACCTGTCTATTACCCATTACCTCGTCCATATAGGCTCCAGGAGACAGCCCAGTGGAGGCCACGGTGACAGACAAATTCGGAATCGTTCCACTCCCCACACGAACCACTTGCAGGGAATCACTCTTCGAGCCTAACGCGGTCGCGAGGACCGTGCACACCGGCTTCCATAGCCACAACTAACTGTCTTCTGCGGTAGTGTAAATGACACACAGGGTAGTTAACAGGTAGGCAACTTGTCATCATTCCCAACAAGCGCAGTCATACCGGGGATGTCAATCAACATGCAATCACATGAAGCGACAAGCTAAAATATACTAAGTCGAATACTGCATACAGATTTGAGGATATAAATCTTTGCTAAAGTAGAAGGGGAATAAATACTGTTATCAACAAATCCGCAATAAATCCAGGATGTCAGCAAAAGGGAGAAAACATGCAACAAAAGCGAAGAAAGCTACAAAGTTAATCACAGTTCATTCAAGCTACGTGTGCAAATATATAGTAGCTTATTCAGGTCGACAGTAAATTGCGATGCCAGGATAGGCGTTAAGACAATATAGCAAACCAATCACCTGAAACAAATTAAATAAGCACGCAAGCACGCGATTATTAAATCGAATGGAAGTGCATGCAGCGTACCTATCCATGTTACGCCTGTTCTGTTAACGTTCTAAGCAGCACCCGCCGTGTTATCGATGTTACTCCTGAGTGGCATCGCTGGCCGCTCAGTGGGCCTGCCTGCCTCAGACACTCGCGACGGCATGTGTTACAGCACCGTGCGCTGCATGTCGACGGAGTAAAACCCATCGACGCCTGCCGCTTCAATACTTACCGCTGCTTCTCTGCATGCACAAGGGCTTTCTCTTGCACCTCGTCAACTGCCTTCGTGATTAGCTCACGCCATGCACGCCGATCAACCTACTTCGATTTCCCACTTCTGAAAGCAACATTAGAACGTTTCGTTGCTGTATAGAAGAACAGACCGCACCATGGATTTGTACACCATTAGCTTCGTGACAACGGTAAGCTGACGTTGGTTCCACACTTGATATTCTCGCTTTCCAAATACTGCCTTCACCTCCGAGACGTAGATACGCAGAGCATTGTATATTTGCTTTTCAGATGAAACCACATTCCCGAGGTAGCAGAAGCGGCAGCTGGATTCCAATACTTCTTCAACAATGCCTATTTGCGGCACCATTTTAGATTGTACCTCAAGTTAAGGCTGAAAGAAGCAGACAGTTTTGCTTGTGTTAAGTGTGAGTCCGAATTGGGTTGCTATCGTAGACAGAGCAATAGTCATGTGCTACGATTCATCCGCGCTGTGTGCAACCAACGGGCAGTCGTCAGCAAACAGCAACCCACGGATAGATGTCTCACACACTGGGGACCTTGCACCTAAACGACGGATGTTCAGCAACCCACCAACAATACAGTGCTCCACACGAACATCGTAAGCACAAACCGCAATAATGCATGTCATGGCGTGAAGATAAATATTAAAAACGGCAGGAGCTAAGACACAGGATTGCTTCCCACCAGAGACAACTGCAAACTCATCCGAGGTCTCTGAACTCGGCTGCACCCTCGCCCGCATACTATTGTGCAGACATTCAATTAAACGTACAGAATTGCTCGGACAACCAAACTTACCCAACATCAGCCACAACGCCTCGCGGTATACTGTATCAAATGCTTTGGTGAAATCAACAAACTGCGAGTAGAACGGCTGTTGTCGCTCTCTACAATTCTCCTGCAATTGGCGAGCCGCAAACACTATCTCGATGGTACTGCGACGAGAGCGGATTCCACATTGCTCTTCCGCCACGTTCGGTTCCACAACTTGACTGAATAGGCGGTTGAGCAGGATTCGCGCAATCATTTTGCCCACACAACTCAGCAAGTTGATGACATGATAATTCGGGTAAGATTGCTTGCTTCCTTCGTCCTTGTAGAGTGGTAGCACAAGCGCATCTTTCAGCTCAGCAGGCACCTCCTCCTCAGTCCACACGGGTTGCATCAGGTGGTGCAGCGCATTCACCAACGCAGCTTCGCCGTGTTTCAATACTTCAGGCGGGATGTCGTCGGCACCGGCACACTTGCCATTTCGCAGCTGAGCATGTGCTCTCCGCGTGGCATCCAGTGTCGGCGTGTCCGCCAGACTCATCTTTACCTCGTGCTGCTTCAGACCGTTTAGTGTATGCCAGTCGATCTCTGTACGGTTGTTCAAGTGATAGGCAAATTTATTTCGCCAGATCTGCATTATGTCTATAGTCTCTGCACAGACAGACAGCGCCTGAAGTAGCATCGAGCGGTCCTCAGCGGTTACAACGCTGGTCCGTACACCACCTTCAAATGGTCAAAAATGCGTTATTCTGGCTTCACTCGGCGTAGCATTCCATCTGCTACGCCTTCTCCGTCCACCATGCATTCTTATGCGACGGAACTCTCGAGTCAGTCGTCGTCCAATGTTGCGAAACTGACTATGCTTCCATAAGTCCATGTGGCCTGCCACAGGTGTGACAAATGCTGCATTCTTCTCAGACACGAAAGCGTCAATCGTCGCAATCTCCTCATTAAACCACTCGGGCCGCTTGCAGTTTGTGCGCCCGACGGTGTCTTCGGTATCAGCTGTCACGTGGTAGCGAATGTGGTGCCACAGGTCGCCCACTGTGGCTTAGGCACTCCACGTCATCACACAGGCGTGCAGCCATCGCCTTCTCCAGCTCAGTACACTTCCCCGCAGTATCGAGAGAGCGAATGTTAGATTTACGCCTCCGGTTCAAGGCTGGCACACAGTATACGCTTTTCCACACCTAGATGTGTAACATTGTGCGCACCAACGTCTCTACCATACTCAGCTCCAGGCAGTACACGTGTCATAAGCAATTCACGCATCTCATGCTGATTTACGATGGCGTAGTCGTAGAGGTAAGCTTGAACACTCTCTGGATTCTTCCAAGTTGCGATATCACTCGCACTCAGTGCAAACCGAGTGTTCGTAATCGTTAGGCCCTGAGTGGCACACAGTGAGAGCAGCCTGTCACCGTTCGCATTCGCTGAATTCATACCATGCGGACCGAGGATATCTGTCCAAACCGATGTAGCATGCTCAACGTGCGCGTTGCAATCACCCAGCAGCAATAGTTGCTTACTCCTCAACACAGACAGTAGCTTGAAGGATAACAGTCTAGAATTGATCCTTTGTGTCATCAGATTGGGACCATCCATGCTAATAATAGTGGCAAACTAGGCTCATCCTAGTCGTAGTCTAACGGTCATCAGTTGCGCGCTGACGTATGTTGTTCACCCACCAGCTAGCCATTTAGGCGATCGGATAGTGCAAATCAGATCCCATGTTTATGTTGTGCTGTGATGGTGTCTATCACCCAGCAGAACTTGTACCCAACATCTGCTTCATGCAACTTACTTTGCTTAGGGAGCCAGGTCTCGCTGAGCTCCACAATATCGATGTTGTAACGCGCCAGCTCCATCGCGACCAGTGCAGTGCGTCACTCGGGACACTGGCTCGTATTCCGCTCGAGCGATGTGCACTCGTTCCAGCACCCGATCTTGAGGGCTTTTCGTGGAGGTATATGATTGCATTGGCGGGCAATCTTTGGGCAGTGACGACATGGATTAGTGGAAGTAGTGTTTTAGAGGTAACGGGGACTGGGAGAATATGTGCAGGGGAAGAAGAAAGTAGCGAGGCACTAGTAGTAGGATGTTATCATCTATCCACCCAGTTGAACGCAGCAGATAGGTAGGCCCTTTTCCTAGTGCCACAGCGCAACGGCCGATGAAGCATGGAGTTATTAATATCACTCTTATCTATGCTTGGGCTTTGGACTAAGATACGTCCAGTTCGTCCACACCTGACATGCGAGCAACTAGGGTTCTACGCTAAGGCCTTCGATAACATATGAGCCCGAAAGGCCGTGCGCCGTGAGTCAGTGAACTGACTTACACAGAATTATGTGTCTTGGATCTTGGCCAGAAAAATGGTCTAATCCAACTTTCACCCAGCGGTCTCCTCGAGGTGGCGTCCAGGACATGAGCTCATGGCACAACTTTGGCAGCAGTCCATCTACGATCTGGTAGGATCTCGCCAACACAAGCCGCAGCACACCATGGACTCTCCCGCCATATATACAAATATATATTGGGTAATAACTATCGTTCCTAGTTCACTAAGCATTAAATCTTAAAATGTAGCTTATAGCATCCAGATGTTGTGCATTCTCGTAATATCAAAGGTAATGAAGGGGAATGGCTGCATGCAATGTGTGGCGGGTTTGAGGAAAATATTTAACATACTAATGAAAGTGTATTCTAACTTACCCACTTCTTTGTACGCAACAGATTGACTCTTCCCGGACTGTGCAACAACCGATGCAATATGGGCTCAAACATGGTAATCTATGTCTTTGTTGATTTCGGTAAGTGTCAAGCGTGTGAGTTGGGCTAATGTGTATCAGCTATATCATTATTCGCTGCATTCGGCCTTAGGTAAGCAGACTGATGCTGCTGCAAATGTTCCACACGAGCCATGAATTCCATGTCGTAATCTTATCCCATTCTGCCTTACTTTATGAGTGTAACTGTGATATCATTCACCATACAGGGGTAAACTTCTTGGCGAGTCTTAACTTAGGTTGTAGCGAAATTAGGGTTGTAGCGAAACCAACAATGAAATGTTCTTCCGAGTTGGGTTGGTTTAGAAAGAAATGAAATACTAATACAGAGTCTATGGTTGGATACTAGGATTTCGGCCAAACTAAACACGTCATCAGGGTTTCAGTGAGAATATCGATAAATTTTCCAGCCTGTGCCATTGTTTGGTTTTGTCACTAATCATCCACGTTACGCCATAAGTACGCTCAGAATCGCCTGCAGATTCATACAACCTGATGTTCTTGTTTTAGACCTGTAGTAGCTAAACTGCTTTAGACGCGTTGGCACAGAATTGATTTTCTGTGTTTAAACGTAGCCACGTGTTGGATATCCAGGCTTTTGTTTCGGAGATGAATTACTTAATAGCATGGGTAGTGGCTGCTCTAAAGAAGAACTGAGAGCGGAACCAGAGTATCTGAGGCCAATCGAAGGGTCAGATAGACACTATCACAGCCGGGTGAACTATACTGATATCCAACTGCCTAGAAGTCTGCCGGTAGACAAGGTAGGGGATAACAAAAGGAAATCCTATGAGGTGCAGCATGCGGACAAATACGGTTATCAGAATGTGGATGAATATGGGAAACTGCATGATCACTACGCACAGCGCAACACACAAGCATGTCGATGCCAAGACGAGTGCTGTGCTCCTGACAGTTGTCTTCCACCATCTCAGTGTTGTGGCAGAAGCAAGTCATTGCCCGCTGCGAGTAGACGGGATTCGGTACACAAAGAATATACTTCGCACTACGAAAGGAACGTTGGTACTATAATCCCGATAACAAAAGCAGTGTCCTCTGGAACGCCGGAGATTTCAAAAAGCCTGGTTGAGCCAGACGCACCTGAAGGAGGGTGGAAGTTACTGTTCGTTGACCAGCAGACTCAAGTGGAGGTGAATACAATCGTAGTTAGAGGAGATGATGGCAAACTACATCTTTGTACGAACCACGCAGTTAGAAATAGGGAAGGTGCAGCTGCGGTTGAAAAGGGGACTTTTCACATTGCTGTTACTCAAACACTTCCGTTAAAAATTGAAAAAATTACGGGGATTGGCACGCAACATGTTGTACATTCGCAACTTCAGGCGCCCCAGGATGAAGCAGAAACACAACACCGGTACTTCACCGAGGGAGTAGACGCAAGTCCAATTGCTGTTGATAGGATCCAACAGCCGCTTGCAGAGAACAGTTTTATTATGCCAGAGATGACAGAACAAGACTCAATTCCCAAATTCATTTACATGGGCGCTGAGCCAAGAAAAACCCGATCTCGAAGTCCCAGGGTGCTACTGATACCATCACGCCAAAGTAGGATTCCAGTGGTCCATGCAAAAGAGCAGAAGTCAGAATCACAAACGTCATGCGCAAAGCATCCTTCTCAATGCACCTGCACCGGATCGAGTTGCTGTGAGGATTATGGAACGGCAATAGTGCCTGATTATCAGCTTCCTCGCTCTGACAACGACGAAATAGGCGCATCCAGACAGTTGGATAAAACAGAACCCCTTTACAATGGTCAAACACTAAGCAACTATGAAAACACTCGCTTTCTTGTTGAACCTGTGATTACACCAGTGTACGTATCTTCAAATGTAAAATGCAGACCCAAACCAGTAGGTGTTCATGAACAGGACGCTGCGCTTGACTGCAATTTAACCGGCCAAGCGACAAACAGCAGTGCTTATACCGACAGATTTTTGTGCCGAAGTCATGGCATTCCGGGAGCCTATCAGCTCATACCCCTAGATAACTCCTCTTACGGTAATTGTGATAGGCATGCTAGAGTGAAACGGAAGGGGTTTGAAAAAAGGACAGTTGACGACACTCCTTCAATTTCAAACGCAATTGGCGTGATGAGGCGCGGGTCACAGAGAACCAGCGCATACCCCAAAGAATTTTCGAAAAGTCAACTGGCGTTTTACGGCGTCAGGTCACATGGTGTCACCTCTTGTTCCACAGCATGCGTTGCAAACGGTCAAGGGGAATGTCTCGTATTTGCTGCCGAACTAAACGAGTTATGTGCAAATGAGACGGTTGAAGAGTGGACCGAAGACATTCGTTCCGATAATGTGGACTCATTCGTCGTAATTTTGAACCTTGAAGGTGGTACTGCAATGGAGGGTAAAAGGACTCTATGTCGGAACCTGTTTAATCGCTTAACTGGTAGGCTTAAAACTGAGCAACAGGTAGACGCCAAAACAACAAAGGCTCCTTCCTTTGAGCACAACATGGTGCCTGAACTTCAGTCAAAGAGAAACGCTCAGGTCTATACTCGTTTACCCCAAATGAAACCAACCATCAGCCTGGTAGAAGAACCGCCTCCACTGTGTCGTCAACCCACGCTTGTGGCAAATGAATTTCAAGAAAGAATAAAGGACAGATTATGGCCAGTGAACACCCTAGAAGAGACCGAATGTCCTCTGAACAACCGCACCTTACCTACTTACAACAGACCCGTTCGCGCTGCAGCACCGCACTATGCTTCGAATCCCTTGAATGAACTAGACCTAGCACAACGCTTGGATGAATCAAACGTGAGAAATATATCTAAGGCTGCAATCCGATATGCGACTGATACGCCAAAAAACAAAGTTTCTTCCCGTCCCTGTCTCTCAGGCGAGCGCTCGGATTCCTATGATGGCTTGGAGAACATGGCCACAGCGAAGGAGTGGAAGAACAGCAGTTATCCTTCGAGTTTTCTGCCACCTATTGAGAAGTGTGCTGCTTCCCGTGATGAAGTTCTCTTGAACTATAACCGCAATAACAAACCTAACATAAACAACGTGCGGCACACATCAAAACAACAGAGTTCGGACGCCGCACTTCCTAGGCTTCGTGATAGAAACTCAGGTTCTCAAATGATGAATCAGCACAATGCTGCAAAATCAGCAGCATCCAAAAACAAAGGAAAACAAAAAGGATATGATTTACTGGTTGTGCATCCTCCCCGATGAACCAGTATCCCAACTGGTTTCCTGACTCACTCGTATTAGGCTGACTTTCTGCCCTAGATTTCACAACAGCCCTCGGTAGTCAAATGATCTACTCCACCTATGATATTTTGAATATCATCCTGCGCACAACCATTTTCACAAATTCCATTCTTTCTTGTGACACTTCACCTAGAGTTGCGCATTCCTTGCAACTGTCTTCTATGCAGCAAATCAGCAACTTCACGTTCTTTTCAGCGAAAAGGCCATTGGTTCCTTAATAAAATCGCCGCTGCGTGTGACTTTCCTGATTAATATTAACGTGACTATGGGATCCATATACCATTTGAATTTGTTCCTAGTGGGTCGACTACACCATGTGGGCGGATACGATGGCTCAAGTTTGGCGCACCGAGGTAGTTGAATATAAAATGTGATTTGTTGGTCCCACCAGTATTTGACCACTGCCAAAGGCCCCGAAAAGGTTGGACTCATAGCTTTAATTTACTGGTGATATATATATATATATATATATATATATATATATATACATATATATATGGTAAACTACCGCCTAATCTGGAATAATGCACATTTGCCAGAACAAACGCTACTGTCTTGGAAAATTGGTGACTTTAGCACAAAGCCATTTTTCTGCTTGTGCAACACTGCATTAAAGAAAAATCTTAGTATCCATAGCATTTCATTGAATCTCCTAGAGAAAACGAACCACAATGTACGACGATTTGCAAATAAACTTTCAGGCTAAACCAACGAGGAAATGAACACACGTCTCAGAAGGACACTTTCTTTACCCTGTGTCTAGCCGTCATATTTGAGCATTCCAGGTGATAGCGTGGTTTGCGGTGTGACAAAGACACGTTGTAGATAGGTAAACTTAGCTACTGTAACCTACAAGTGGATGGTACAGAGGTGCGTCTGCTTACCCTAATGTAAATGACTATTATCCACAGAGGGCATAACGATATGCAGTGATCTGCGCTCGATAACTTGCACACATCAAAGCCATAGCAATTCAAAGGTCATGAGAACGGTCTTACCTTGCTGTTGAATCGCTGTGAAAAAGCTAGATTGAGCCGATCAGATGCTAAACGCTTACTGTTAATCATTATAGTTGTGGTTCCCTTACTCACTTTAGTAGATCACTTATATTCTGTGCAACAGGATGTAGTGATACCGCTTTTCAGCACCCGGCGAATGTGTAGCATTGACACTACTAATAACGTTAGCAATTCAAACGAAAAGGAAAAGTTACAAGATGTATTGGTAGTGAATTTGCAATAAGTGAACAAATGCATGTGTCTTTGCTTCGTAATCAAATCATTACCGATGGCACATTCATCCTCTGATGTTGCGTGATTCCAAAACTTTATCTTGGTAAACAACAGTCAATAGCTGGTTCAGTATTTTGAACGTTTATTGAATTCATCTTGCCTTGTCATTGACTGATTACCTTGGGGTTTCAGCCAAGTTGGAGCAGTATTGGCAAATTATATACATCCAGGAGGACGGTATGCAGGCTTGTGCAGCACATCACTGAGCCTGTGAAGCTGGTACGAGTTCAGTGATCATCGCATGAGCCATCGGAGAGTGCGTTCTCCAGCTCTAAACGAGAGCTTCGGCCATACTTCGCAGGTATCGATGATCAAGCATTATAATTGTTCTGATCTCTTTAGTTAGCTGTGACCAAGTGGTTGGTTACCAGAGTAGCAGTGTTAGCACCGCAGCGTTTCGAACTCTTGTGTCGAACAACAAGAACCTATACAGGAAGCATGCAAGTACTACGAGAGCATTAACAGAGAATTCAGTGACTCCTTAGAAGATGCGACCATAGGAGATGACGAAGTTCTTATAAAAAAGGAGTTGACAGATCTCTTTAAAAGATTCTTGAACGACAGTGGATGCCAGGGATGCGTCATGCCAGGCTTGCAACGGTACCTTGAACTTTGCATACATGGAACGTGTGTCAAAAATATATCCACGCGCCCACTCGTTGAGCATGCAGTTCAAATGAGCCAAATACAACCCAAAGGTTGAAATATCGTCCGTCTATCATAATATTTTGTAGCCTGTAACTTAGAAGAGCGTTGGATATAGGTGAATTGGAAGGACACCAGAGAAGTAGAGTCGTGGTCAATCCGCTTATAAAGTTGAGTGACATAGAGGCGTGAGGCAGTATCGACTACCTGCAGCTGTCGCCATTTACCCGGACAACGAATGTGTACCATGGACCTTAAGACTGCCATGGAACGTTGGAACAAATCATTCAGAATAGAAAGAAAGCGCTCGGCTACGCACGCCCCCTGGCTAAAGAAAAACAAAGGCACGAATAAGTGCGATCAACAAAACCAAGCGTAATCTTGGGACAAAGGAAGATAACTATGAAAAGCTATCGCAATGAGGCTGGACCTTACCGTGTTGCGATGGTTTGTGTGCCTCAGCGATCCAATGAGCTATGCTGGGTGGAGCTCTTGCACCTTCAGAGTCATTCATACCAGATTGGTCAATGGTTAGAGGTCAGACAAACTCAGCTTCCTGGTCCTCCAGGTTGGGGGTTGGAATGAAGGTGACACCTTATTCCTTAAAACGGACTCCTTGTAGACCAACGCCAAACCCGCTGTCTTGCGGTAAGGTTTTTGAACCAAAGGCTTTGGTTGAGAACCCTACTCGTTCTCCTGCCTAGGCATAGGCAACCTGACAGTATCCTGTCCACACAATACTATGAATCCTTTGTCAAACAATTTCTTGATGCTCTGGCCACCGCAGAGGATAATAAACGGTGCCCTATATGCTGCATCGAGCATGGTGGATAGCGGTTTGGATGCTACTGCTCAAGCCTTCCCGTCTTCATATCCCCCCTCTTACGCTTCTTCACTCTTACCGTCCCCTTCCAACTTCACTTTTATCCCCCTGTTTTCAACCCCGCTATCCTTGGCCCTACCCCAACATGCTTTGCTAGGCATTTATCTTCTAATTTCAACTCACATGTGAACGCGGAGCGTAACTCCTCTCCTGTCGAAAAGTCCATGTCCAACCAAGCGGTCCATTCCAGTTCACCGGCTTCCATTTGGAGCCCTCGATTCTCCTACAGATTGGCATGCCTCAATGTACGCACACTACTACAGATCAGTCAACAGGCAGCACTTGCCCGAAAATAGGAGACCCTCTCGATCGATATCTGCTGCTTATCAGAGACCCGCCTGCAAGACTCTTGGATCCCCCTCAGATGACGCAAGCAGTATTTTCTCACTGCGCCTATCCGGTGACGATGCAGCTTCGAGCACCGGCCAAGATGGTGTTGGCATTGCCCTGAGTCCCCAGGCTGAAGCTGCTCTGGTTGATTGGATTCCAATCAGTAGCCGGATGTGTGCGGTCCAATTGGCTGGCTCCTTCAAAGCTTCGAAGTCGCGCGGAACTAATAGGTGTCTATTCATCATCGCTGCCTACGCGCCCACAAAATGTAGCGGTGATTCGGTAAAGAACGACCTCTACCGCCAACTGACCCAGCTCCTTCGCCACAGAAGAAGCACGGACACCGTTGTGGCTGCGGGGATCTGAATGCATAAGTTGAAAAGTTGTCAACTGCTGAAACGCATCTGGGCGGTCAGAACTGTGTAGGCTCCCGTAATGATAGCGTTGAGCGGTTACTTCATTTTTGTGAGGATGCCCGCTTATTTCTTGTGAGCACTAACTTCCGACACAGCACCCGCCGGGGGTGACTTGGTGCCCACCAGCCTCAAACCAGCCTTGGACGCAGATCGGTCACATTGCTATCAGTTACTGCTGAAGAGGCTTCATCCAGAACTGTCGTTCGATTTGGTGCACATGTGTAGACACCGATCATGCACTTGTATGTGCTGACATGCGGATGCGTTTTGGCGGACGCCCACGAGGACGCTGTAAGCGCACTGACACCAGCCAACTGGCTGTTATGAATACGTATCGAGGTACGCTGACATGTGAGTTGTGTAAGCGCTCACTGGAGCCAATTAAAGGTCACTGGTCACATGTTCATCAGATCTTACTAGCAGTGGGCAAATCCTCATGTGGTATGTCTAATAGCCAACATGGATATTGGGTCTCTTCGCGGTCTCTGGAACTTATCGACGCTCGCCGGCATATCCCGGCTGGAAGCCAACACAATGGAACTCGCAAAGAGCTCCGGGTAAGACTCCGCGCTAGCCTGAAGAGAGACCGCGAATCCTGGTGGTCTCATCGTGCGTCAGAGTTGGAAGTGGCCGGTGCCCTTGGCAACCATCGCAAGTTATTCCGTCTGATACAGGAAACGGGCAGCAGAAGACCTGGTGTTAGTGAAACAATTTGTGATGAGAGTAGACAGCCTATCCACAATTTGTCAAAACGATTGGAGCTTTGGGCTGAGCATTTTGAAAAGCAATTTAATCGGCTAGAATTGTTTGATTCTTCGCCGGCCAGTGATCGCCCTGCTCCGTGGGTTGTTCCTTTGGATCCACCCTCTCGTTCTGAAGTCGAACGTGAGATCGGACTGTTGAAGGTGAACAAAACCGCGGGACCAGATGCTCTTCCACCAGCACTCTTCAGATTCGGAGGCTCTGCTCTTGTTTATGCTTTACATGAATTATTAGTGAAACTGTGGGAACAGGAGACTGTCCCAACCGACTGGATCCGCTCCGTTATTGTTCCCATCTTCAAAAGAGGCTCGCTTTCGGAATGCGGCAGCCATAGAGGAATCAGTCTGATCTCCATGGCCTCCAAATTACTCGCCTCCATAATTCTTCACAGACTGACTGGCGCCCGTGAAAGCCACATTCATGGGGAGCAAGCTGGGTTTCGTCGGGGTCGTGGCTGCATCGATCACATCTTCACCTTGCGTCAGATGTTGGAGCACCGTCACACATATTGGCAGCCCACCGTTGTCGTGTTCCTAGACATCAAAGGTGCATTCGATTCTGTTGATCGATGTGCCCTTTGGAATTGTCTACTCAGGAAAGGTGTGCCCGAGAAATATGTAAATATTATCCAAGCATTATGCGCGCGTAGCACGGGCAGAGTGAGGGCTTACGGTAACCTGTCGCTACCCTTCAATATCACCAGCGGTGTGAGACCAGGATGCCCGCTGTCACCTTTCCTCTTCAACTTCGCTATTGACGAAAACATGGAGAATGCATATACAGGACATGATTTAGAAGGTGTGGAACTATTCCCAGAAGATCGACTTCTTGACATGGAGTATGCAGACGACATTACTCTCATCTGTGACAGCTCCCTGACGTGCCAAGCCGCGCTGGACAGATTAGCAATGGCTGTCAGCCGCTTCGGGCTTTGCTTTGCACCATCGAAATGCGAAGCGTTCCTCCAAGGTTGGCAGGGATCGCCTCCTGCGCTGACGCTTGGTGGGGATCAGCTAGAAATCGTACAAACGTTCAACTACCTGGGCAGTTTTATCAGCACCCTTGGGATCGAAGACGAGTTCACGAACCGTATAGCAAAATCTCGAATTGCTTTTGATAACCTTCCCCACTTATGGCGGCGG